AAAAAAAAAAAAAACTTTATACAATGCCATTTTCTGTCTTGTTTCAAAATAATCTTAATTATTATTATTATAAATAACAATTATATATATTCCTATTTTAAGCATAATCACAAAATTTTGTTAGATTTATGCTTAAAACAAGATGGAAAATACTGTTATATTATTGAATTCTTAGCTTGATGCTTAAAACAAGAAAAAAAATTATTACAAAATATTTTTATAATATATAAAATTATATAATATATTCTAATATATGAAATATTCTATATAATATTTATTATATATTCTATATATATTTTGTCTCAAATAAATTCATCTTTACTGAATGTTTTTGGATAGTTTTACTTAAAAAATTTTTTTTACTGCTGATTAAGAAAATATGTTTTGCTGTGTGTGCAAAGTTTAGCATGCTAACCCATGCTGTCCCTCATGCTCGCTCAGAGTACAATCACAAAGGCAGTAGGAACGCTAAGGTAAAGAGGCAGAACCCAATATGAATGCAGAAAACTTTTTTTTCTCCTGTTTTTGGATCTGTTTTCCCCTTGCACTTACCATAGTTGCTTAAAGTGTTACATGGCACAAATCTGATCCTAGGTCAGCATTTCATCATCAAACCGCTCCCTGCAGGAGGGCCTCTCACTCTGGCCTTTAGCTGTTGTGAGAGCAATAGCTAGAGTCTGTGTCCATCTGCATAAGAATGCTGCCCACTTCACAGAGGAAGGAGGAGGGCCGCAAGAATTGATGAAAACTTTTCCTGTTCCCCCAAGCCCTTTCATTCCCCTCTCTCCTGTTTCTCAAGTCTTGGCTGAGATGTTTCACACACTCCTGCCTGTACATTTGCGCCACTTTCAGAAATAAAACCTGCTTAAAAGTTGGGTTTAAATGTAACAATGCTTATGAAACAAAGACTCCGGCCTAGTCAAACTTGATTGTTAGACCAAGATATTCACTATGGTTCTTATCTGTGAGACAGTCCATGTTTAAATATTTAGTAATGCATTGGAATGCAGAAAAATACCCACTTTCTATTTTTCCTCATATCATTGCTTCAGGGTTATTGAGTGTGTATATTTGTTTTGCAATGGCTGAAAGTCTGAAACACAAGTTGGCTATATTTCAGTAACTATAAAGTTTTGAATCGAATGTGTGCATATTCTCATTCTCATTTAGAGTCTGTACAAATAATATTAACTTTAATATAAGAACAACTAGAAGAGCTCCTCCTCACAAGTATATATGTGTACAAGTTTGTGTGAGAGAGGGTCTGCATCTGCGTGAGAGAGGGAGAAAAGCAAATTGTGCAGGTTTCTCCTCCCATTGGCGACCTCGCACGATGGCAATGTTGAGCAGAGTAGGGTTGATCATGATCATGTGACAGACAGGCAGCTTTGGGAGAGTACAGCTCTGAACACAGAAACATCAGGCGCAACTAAAGGAGTTTCCACACCGCGAGAGCCTACAAGTGAACATTGCCCCGTTTTAAAACCGTTATTCAAGCGCTCTGAACGACATCGACGGTCAGTGGAAAGTTCTGGGGAAGAAGCTGTTTTAACAACCTGGATAAAGAAAGGTTTGGTGGCGATAAAAATATTCTCTGTTGGAGAGGAGAGACGCACAAATCTCAGCGGGCATGCGGGAGTTTTTGGAGTTATTTGACTGCAAACACTCTACAAACAAATAAGAACTTTCGCGCAGATTCGGTGCGTTAATTGCGTCATCAGTTGTCTTTTTTTAAGGGTGATACAAAGTTTCAACATTGTGTTTGAAAAGTAGCGACATCGGGGCAGTAGTTTGGAATAAAACAGGGAAAATATATTAAACCCCTCCTTTTGCTTTTTTTGTTGTTTTTTTTCTTGTAGGGGGCTGTTGTGTTTTCCCGAAGTTTTACGTATTTTGAGGTTTTTGGGGTATATTTTAAACATGGTTGGAGAAATGGAAACGAAGGAGAAGCCGAAGCCGACTCCTGATTATCTGATGCAGCTCATGAACGACAAGAAACTGATGAGCAGTCTGCCAAACTTCTGTGGTATTTTCAACCATCTCGAGCGATTGTTAGATGAAGGTGAGAGTATATATATATATATAT